CTCTGAAGTAGGGGTGCTGAATATAACATCAATCAGCTCAGTGACAAATTCTATATTTGTATTAATATGATATTATTATTAATATCATATTGATATTAACATATTAATTTTTATGCGTAACTCTTTATAAATTTTGACGTATCAATATGTATGTATTTTTTTTATTTATAAAGCGGTGTATTCATTTTTATTTTAAATTTATGCATAGATAATTATGTATACATCTGTTATGTAAATGTTTATGTATAAATGTTTATGGTTAAATTTAAGCATAAATCTTTGTCTATATTATTGCGTATAAATTTTTATGTTTATATTTCTCTGTATAAACTTATGTATACATTTTCACGTAATTTTTTTACTGATTTTTTTTAATCAGACAATATTCTTATTACATGCGTTTGAGTTTCTACACCTGTTTTATTATTATTATTATTATTATTATTATTATTATTATTATTATTATTATTATTTGATTTCTGGAGTTTACACATTTCTTTCCGGGTCCCGCCCAGAGACCTAAGGTTAGAAATGGCATCATGACACTTTCCACAAAAAAATATTTTATATAGATAAAGCCCTCCGTAAAGTGTGGGCTGTACTTGTGAGAACACTTTTTTATATCTCTTTGAGGCATGGACTTCCGGGAATCCCCTCAATTAGTCTACTGGAATCTTTTCTAACCAATCCTAGGGCTCCAGCTACAACAGAGATTATTGATGTTCCCATGTGCCACATTTTTGAGATTTCTATTTCAAGGTCCTTGTATTTTGACATCTTTTTGAATATCTTCAAAGATACATTGCAGTCTGCAGGGACTGCCATATCAATAAGGATGCAATTTCTTTGTGTGTGGTCTTTAATAACAATATCTGGGCGGTTGGCTTTGATTGTTCTGTCAGTGTGTATTGTGTAGTCCCATAGAATTGTAACAGGTCCTATCTCCGTAATCGGGTCTGGGTGGTGTTCATACCAGTTTCTTTCAGTCTACTTCCCGGAGAAGTTGCAGATTTTCCAGTGCAGATATTGGCCCACTCTGTCATGCCGGGTTTTATATTCAGTGGGTGCTAATATCGTGCAACCTGATACAAGATGATCAATCGTTTCTGGATATTTATCACAGAATCTGCATTTTGGGCTGACAATATTTTAGTATGTGCTTGATAATTCCTAGTTAGCAAGCATTGGTCCTGTGCAGCAAGGATAAAACCTTCAGTTTCAGCTTTCGACTCTGCACTACGTAGCCACTGATGGGTACGGGTTTTGTCTACGTCAGCTTGTTTGGTACGGGCAGAGTATTGGCCATGAAGCGGTTTATCTTGCCATCGCTTCTGTATCTGATCGGTTGCATTCGTCTTTGCTGTCTTTTTTAAATATTTTTCAGTTTCCGCCGGTGTATTGTGCTCTACGACCATTTGAAACTCCATTTTGAATTTTTTGGCTTCTTTTATTACGAAGTAAAGACGCTTACTACTTTCATGTTCCTTGACGCATACCATCATCCAGTCTTTTGTAGCTTCCAAGTATCTTTGGAGGCCAATTGTTGTAGTTTTGTAGGACAGTTCTAGTTGAACTAATTGTTATGGGATGTTACTCATAATAATAATAATAATGGACTATTCCATACTTAATAAACACTGCGCCTCAGGAGTAGGCAAAGATGGGTAGTTCAAGTGGAGTCAGTAATTCAAGTCGAGTCAAGAGTTGAGTCAGAGGCAGTCCGAAACAGAGTCGCGTTCAGACAGTTACTGCAAGACATTGGAAAAGTGATACTGGTCGAGACTACATTGTTCTCTCTACTAAACCTGATTGTTCATACTAACACTTCTACTTCTCTGTATATATTCCTGTTTGTAATATATCTGTGTTATTCCATACCTGTGTTCGAGTTTTTCTTTATTGATTCTACCTTGGACTATCACCGTGGTACAAGGAACCGGACTATAACACTAATCCTCTGCCTCCTTCGGATCTGGGCACATACAGACGATCAACATCAGCTTTGAGATGATGCATGCGGTAGCAAGTGAGAAGCTTTCTCGTTTTGGCGTCCATTCGCTTAATTTCAGCTATGGTCCAGTTAAGGACATTAAAGCTGTATTGCACCACAGGGACAACCAATGTGTTCATGGCTGATATTCTGTTTTTTGAGTTTAGCTCAGTATTTAGTACCAGACGTACACGCCTGTAATATTGTTTTCTTATATTATTATTATTATTATTTTCGTAAGCCGTAAAGTTAACCGAACGAGAGAGTGTTGAGAGGCACAATTTCTCTTTAGTAGGACTTCTTATTGGTCCTTATTAAATTCACTGTTCAAAATAATTTTTTTAAAAAACAGTAGGGATAGCAAATCAAACGTGTGCCCACTAAAATAACGTTTAATACAAATTTATGTATAAATTTTAATGCATAAAGTTTTTTTATGAATAAACTGTTAATTGGTTAATGATTTAAGTCAACTCTAAATTTGAAGCACTTTTTTTTTTTTTAAATACTAGAAATTTTTTTTCAACACACTGACGCATGTTGAAAACCTCTTAATATTGTTGAACTTATCACGTCCTCTGCCCATTTGAAACTGTTCCTACCGTGTTTCTATTAACAGTGCTACCACTGTACATTATATTTTACCAAATATATATATATATATATATATATATATATATATATATGAAGAAAAAATACCACTTCAACATAAAAAAAAACAAAATCAAAATCTTAATATGCGATTTTACGACGACATGTTTTTTAAACGTTCCCATGTTTACGGTCTAATTATGTCTTTAAAGGAAGATTTATTATATTCAAACATGAAAGACATTAATACCATAATCAAATCGCCATCTTAAGACATATTCATAAAACATATCCAATTTGCTTACACACACACATATACATTCAATATATTATAAGATAGTTATGGACATAAAATGAATAAATACGCGCCTCAAGTTCCGTCTGAAATGGAACAGATGTCAACATGAAATCGTTTTCATAAACCTGATTGTTCGTATCAACTTCTCTGTATATATCCTGTTTGTAATATATCTGTTTCTTATTGTTTAAATATATCATGGTAAACGACCATAACAATTCGTCAAGGAACAATTATTTTAAACATTTTTTATGTTTATACATTCTTTTATAAAAAAATATTTAAGTAAATGCTCTGTTTTATAATAAACAGTATTAAACAACATTTACCGGCCTGAAAGCCCGAGAAATTTTCAAAGAAAATATTCGTCCTCCGACAGGAATCGAACCTGTATCCTCTACAGAACCGTCATATAGCCTGATGTGTCTTTAACCGATTTGGGCACAGAGGAGCGTTCGGTTAGCACGGTCGAATTTACTGCCTTTAAAATTCAATCTTCCATGAATCTTTCACGCACATTCATACCTGCTCAAAGTGTATCCAAATGTAAACAAATGACGTCACACATTATGAAATGGACAAAGTGATAACTGATAACTGACATCCATTAAACATGGCACGTGGAGCTAGAACAGTCTACTCCAGTGAGCGAAAAAAAGGGTTCAGTTCGATATTCCAACCACCTGAACAAGACCGAGGCGTATAGTATAGATTAATTTATTCAATTTTTTATGGCCTTTCCATTATATTTTTCCTCATTTCTCTGCTTTCAGTCTGTATCGTGTGGGCTCTGGATTGTACGCACCTACCTGATGGTCATTATAATATCGCGTGCAAATCTTATGTGATATGTGCTGGGGGTAAATCAAAGCAAGTTCACTGCGACATTGGTGAATATTACAACATTAACACAAAGAAATGTGACCGGTAAGTAAAGAGAGGCTTAAAGCAGTTATTCTCCAGTCTAGTACAATAACAAACGTTTCTGTTTAGTGAAGGAAACTTTGTATTGGATTGTCAGATAAATTCGATCATTTTTTTTTTTTTTATTTTTTTTTTCTTTTACATTTTTTTTTTTTGTTTATTGTTTGCTTTTTTTGTCATTTCTTTTAATCCTATCATCCATCGACAATTTCAACAAATCAGTAAACCATATAAAACGATGAAAGCAAGATAAAACGTAAAAATATTTTGCCTATTGATTCAAATAACATTGAGAGAAAAAAAACGAACGAATTTATCTGAAAACCTAATAGAGTGTTCTTTACTTACAAAGAAAACTAAGTTTTAAAGCTGTTTTTTATCATTTAAAAAAAGAAGAAAACAATTCACAGATTTCATAACACAAAACAAATAATGATCCATATTATATAATCTTAAATGCTGTCTATACATTTACGAATTGGCCATATTGATAAAAATATAGCATAATGGTTATCGACGCGTGAGGAGTTGAAATTCCGGATTAATCTGCTGCGTTCAATTTTGCACTAATGCCTTTAAGAAAACTATGGGTTAAATAGCAGAGTTGACGAGGAGCTCAAGCCATAGATGGCAGTCAGTCTACGAGAACAATAACACTGAATTCAAGACCGTGGATAGGGACACGGGAAACATCTCCGCTATTTTTGTCAATAAATTATAGAAATTTCAGACATAATAAACAAAAAGAAAGCTGTGGAGAGCTATGATCGCCTACGTCATAAGGAATATTGCATGAAAATACCATGAATAGCTCTAAAGTAAAATGAATTAGGTATTATATATATATATATATATATATATATATATATATATATATATGTAAACATATATATATATATATATATATATATATATATATATATATATATATATATATATAGTGGACTCTCCCGTTATATTCGACGTATGAGGGCCAAACAGCTCAGTTCCGAGGAACCGACAGCCCAGACACCAGCACATATGATTTGATTATAGTGGTGAAAGCTTTGTGCAGAACCAACCACCTGGTGCACGACGACCCTCCGCATTTTTTGAATTCAGAATTGTCCTTCTCCTCATATATATATATATATATATATATATATAGAGAGAGAGAGAGAGAGAGAGAGAGAGGAGAGAAAGAGAGAGATGAACAACCTGAGATAGATATACGGATAGGGGGAATTGGCAAGAAAGAAAGAAAGAAAGAAAGAAAGAAAGAAGCAATTAAAAACGTTAGGAACATTTCGATAAAGAAAGGTGATCAAAGAAAGAAAGAAAGAAAGAGAACTCATAAATATTACGTGTACAGATACGCAACAGTAGCTAACATCACAAACAGCAATTGATTCTAGAAGAAATCAGACGATATTAAGTTGATTTGTGATTCCTTTTTTCTATAGACGATATAAACAAATGACAATCAGAAGAATCTCTCAGAACTGTCCGGTCAGTGATCAAGTGTTTTATTGACGCCAGGCCAAGATCATTCACTTACGTTGATTTTTCTACTTACCTATCAGTCTAGTTTGATCTTGGTATTTATTCGTTTGATCAGATTTATAAGCGTGTAAATCGTTTTTCACTTCATGCACATAATTAAATTATTTATATTAATCAAGATGGAACAGAAGTAATTAGGTTTACAATAGCACAAGATAGGTTTGCCTATCGTCTGGTTCACAATTTTCCCCGGTCATTTGAACAGGACTGGATGATTTTTCTCTTATTTCCTGTTTAGGATTGGGTTTCCGGTTCCTTCTAAAGTCTACTTCATCTCTAACTTCTTCGTCTAAAACTCTGAACTTTAATTTACTTTTCACAATTTTTCATTGAATATGAGTAGATAGGTTTGCCTATCATCCGGTTCATACTCCTCCACGGTCTTTTGAAAAGAAGTAGAGTTTTATCCCTTGTTTCCTGTTTAAGACTGCATTTCCGTTTTTTTCTAAAGTCTACTTCAACTCTATAATTCTAAGGTCTCTGTACAAACTCTGAAAATTTATTTACCAATTATTTTTCTCTCCAATAGGAATAAATAGATTGACCTACCATCCGGTTCACACCTTCCCCGGACTTTTGAGCAGGAGTATAGATGTATCCCTTGTTCTCTGTTTAAGATCGTGTTTCCAGTTCCTTCTAAAATCTTTTCATTTACTTTTACTTACAGT